AAATAGAGCTCATAAAATAAATTCAAAATGTAGGGAAAACATGGAAAAATTACAGAACAATGAAAAAGGGGAAAAAGAAAAGTAGTAATAAAAAATTGTTTTTTATAGGATTTGAGTTTTTGATGCCCAAAATAAAATGTATCCGCAATAGTTTGATCTGAAGAGTAACCCAACATATGAACCCTTTAAAACAAATTTTAAGCTAGCATATTTCGCTCTATAACTTCTTAAGCGAATCGAGGAAATTTTGCGCACTATTATAAAATTCGTTTATCTAAAAATAATTCCATACTAAAATTAAGATTTAGTAAATATTAATTATTTTTTTATTATACGTATTACTTAATAATAATCGAAAGAATTTCCAATCATTGTTAAAGTCTTAGCTTTTAATAGTGTACCACTCTATACATCTTCTGTTTAACTTACCACTACCAAATGCTTGAAAATGGTAGCATAGTTGACAAAAGGAGAAAAGAATTTTAGCCTGTTGTAACTAGGCCAGTTTGAATGAAAATAATAATAATTTTAGTTAAAAGAGAATAGTGGTAAACAGTTTGGCATTATTTATTTTAATTTCATTACCATTCTCAGAACTGGCAACAGCTACGCTTTTTGCTAAAATATCTCACAGAGCGATAGCATACCCTCCAACTGCTACGGAATTTCCGTAGTTTCAGAAATCTTCTTTTCAGACGGTAGCAAAATTAATGTCTTAATATTTAAAAAAAATTAATTTTAGCGTAACTTGTCCACTATTACTTATAAAAGTGCAGGCCATATGGCTAGATTCTTAAGTTCTGATAAAAGTTTTATGAGAGATCCATTTGCTTTAAAAATTTCTACTTTGGTTCGCTACCACTAGAAAGAATTATTTTCAAAATCTTCATAAGTTGGAGGGTATGCGATAGAGACAGTTAAAAACTAAATCTTTCAGAAAAATCTTATAACGAGAGAGCTGAAACAAAGCGGATTATATGTAAACATTTGAATTATTTACTTGTGGTGGTTAGGAAAATAACTTTAAATAAAGTTTACAAAACAAAGAATAAGTTACGTAATAAACTTAGCGACTAGAAAAAAAATGTCCCCAAAAAACATATAAATATCCCTGTGTCAGACAGCTGTTTACCAAGATTCTTAGTCGTGAGCAACACCTGAAAATACCTTTAAATCTTCAAGGGGTGGAGCTCTAAACAATGTTCCACTTATTTTTGACAATGACATGAACCACTAAAATTTTAATAGCCTTTATTTCGTAAACAACACGGTTTTTAATCAACCACTTTTTATTTTGAAAAATGTTAAGATAAAGCAAATCGCTACATTGCGAATGTGCTTGCCATACCTAATTTTATTTTTATGATTTTTGCTCATAGTCAGATCACCCTCAAATACTCACTAGCTATGGATGCTCCTGAGGAAATGGAAATGGCTATTAACCGGTTAACGCCCAGCGTCATATATTTACATACCTGCCAACTTTTTGTCCTTTCGAGGATAATTTTCCCCAGTGGTAGTAAAATGGAATTTAAATTACAATTTTAGGCAGAAACATTCGTTGCATTTTGAACAAGCTTATGCGGACTACCAAAACAGTATCACATACTATTATATATGATTAATTTTTTTAAAAATAGTGGTGGATCAAAGAGATTAAAAATTAAGTTTATAAATGCAAGGAATATATTGAAACCATACATTTTAGTACCACTTTAAATATAGAAATAAAATTTTACGCCAAATGCGTAAAAGTTGGCAGGTATGCATTCATTACATATTTTTGCATAGTTAGTACTGATAGTCCATTGTGACACGGCTGAAAGCCTTTATATAGCAAGATAGAAAAGAGCAAAAAATGGTACGAAAGACATTTCATTCAAGCATTTTTTTCAGAGAAAAATAAAATATCTGTAACTATCAAGACTTCTTTTATAATTTTAGCATATATATAATGCTGCTTCTTTTCCGGGATAATGTCTTTCGATAAAGCCATCGAATGTAAAACAGCAAATTTGAATGAAATCTTTAAATTTGAAAATTATATCAAAGATAAAAACTACAGACCAATAGCTGCACATTTCACCTCCGACGCCTCATATCATAACTATCAAAACAAATAATTTCATCAACCTTTCTGAAAATAACGTNACCACTTTTTGTATCATTTCAATTTATCAATTCGGGACAAAACGGGTTAAGATGCTCCTTGATTTGGGAGTATACCATCCCAACACTAAAACTATTTATTTAAGATATATTCCCTGAGAACCAACAGCCCCCACATAGTTCACCAACAGCTACCTCAAATTTACTACTCTTAACTTATGGATACTTCTGATGAGAGGAAATGACTATTAAGATGCTCCTCGACTCTGGAGTATACCATCCCAACAGTAAAACTATTTATTTAAGATATATTCCTTGAGTACCAACAGCCCCCAGATAGTTCACCAACAGCTACCTCAAGTTTACTACTCTTAACTTATGGATACTTCTGAGGAGAGGAAATGACTATAAAGATACTCCTCGACTCTGGAGTATACCATCCCAACAGTAAAACTATTTATGAAAAGGAAAATCAAGAAAGAGATTAATCTGTTTTTAGATTTTTAGCAAAGAGAGGAATCTATTTTTTTAATGTGAAATTTAGAGAACAAGCATTTTAATATAGTCCCCCTTAAAAATAGAGTTATTTTCTCTCTTTTTAATTCTAATTTAAAACTGCATTTTTCAAATTTGGTACTTGTCCATTTCGCCGATGAATAATTGCCAATGTAAAGTTACCGATTACAAGTAAATTCATTTTTTTTTAAATTTAATTTTTTATATGTTAGCCATTTTTTAAGTCTAAAAAATAAACATTATTTGGGCAGGTGAAATTGAAAAATGCCTTTAATTTGTTCAAGCATTTTAAACAAAACATCAAATAAAATGCTGCATAAATAATAAAAAAAAAAAATACTTTATCATAGAAGTGTGTTAATAAAACAAACTGACAGTTCGACATGAAATTTCAAGACCTATGCTTGCACTTATTTTTTGGTATGGAATGGACATGTAATTTTTCACTATCAAAAGAAAGGAAAAAAGAAAAGAAAAAGTATTCGATATTTTGTTCTAAATTTTTGAATTTAAATCTGCTAATTGTAATTTTCCAACTTTTTGAATTGAATTATATTGACTTGATGTTATTTTAATCTAATTTTTTAACCCTTATTATAACAATAAAAATATTCGTTTTGTTGCTGATTGTTAAAAGAAAAATCTCAAAACTCAACTGTTGTTTAAAATGCAACAATGCGTCTGTATTGTTTAAAGAGATTCATTAAATTAGTGATTATTGTCATTCCAAACTTTGTATTTGGGGAGCTATCTTGAATATTTTTTCAAAGAGATTAATTTTTAAGTCATGAAGTGGCTTAAGAGATTGAGGCGATATTTCGCCAACTTGAGCTCTTGCTCTGGATGCAAGAGTGATCATGCTGGGGATTTGGATGAGAGGAAAATTGCCAAATATTATCGGAAGCGTGCTGTAATTCTGGACACTGTTCATGCATGGGTTTTCCCATTTGTGTCCGTTCAGACGCAGACAGATGATATTTATTGGACAAACCTCTCAGAAAATGTTCAGACGCAGACTGATGATATAGATTGAACAAACCTCTCAGAAAATGTTTAGGATTACGGATTATGGTTTAAGGATTATGGATTAAGGACTATGGATTGAGGATAAAGGGTTAAGGTTCAAAGATTGAAAAGTTTCAAAAGTACGTACTAGTGAGTTCAATTAAAGTAATTGTTAGCATTACTGTGCGCTATTCCGGAAAATGTGCTGTAATTCTAGACACGGCTCATCCATGGGTTATCCCTCAGACCCAGACTGATGATATTGATTTGACAAACCTCTCAAAATATGTTTAGGATTATGGATTATGGATTAAAGATACTTAATGATTATGGATTGAGGATTATGGATGAAAGACTTAAGATTAAGGATTATGAATTATGGATAGAGGATAGAAGGTTAAGGACAAAGAATAACTGATTAAGATAAAGATTTAAGGTTAAGGAATTATGGATTAAGATTAAAGAATTAAGGATAAGGGATTGATATGAATGGATTACGAATCAGAGACGGCTTAGATTGAAAAACAAATTAAAAATTTCAAATTCCTACTAGTGTGTTCATTCAAATTTATTGTAAGTATTTGTTTTCTTTACTTAAGATATTTTTAATGCATCTGCATGTAATTAATTAATTAATTAATTAATTAGTATACCTGAATATCATCACAAGGGCTACTATGAGTCTTTTTTCTTCATTTTTTTACATGCTTTTAAACAAAAATATAATAAGTAGATTTTTTACTCCCAAATTGAGCTGGAACCAATTAACAAAGTAAAGAGAAATTAAAAGCATATTTTTTTTTAAATTCCTCTTTATATTTCTACAAAATAACTCCTGCTCGGGACTTTTTTGGACCATTCACTAATTTTAATAGAAAATTAATACAAATCATTTGTTAGACTATTGTAAATCCCAAGCACAAGAATCTACTAATAAAGTGACACTGCAAATTAGCAAGATAACATTATTTTACATATTAAAGCATAAAAAAATATTTTGATTTCAAAAAATTAGAGCGACATTTATTTTTGCTTTTTATGAAATGAATTTTGAATGATAAGCATTTTATTTTAACACCTTAATCAGCAACAACAAGTACATTAAAGTATCCTCGTTTCATTAGCATGGGAAGATTTTTTTCTTGATGTTAGCTCACACTTAAATAAGAATATTATTTCTCTCGGGCTTGACTTTATGGGGTAAGTTTACGAGAAATTTTAAATTCGCCATCAAATCGAAAAGGGGAAAACAATATCACATGTCGGTAACAGTTTACTAAAGGTAATATTTTCCTAATTTTTATCACATGAGTGGAATCAGTAACAGTGGGAAATTTGGAGGTAAGCAGTACACTTCATGTACTTTACATTCTACACAGTACTACACTGTATATTGCATCCTGTATACTAAAGTGCTTATTTTTATATTGTCAATTTACCATTTTTACGAATTCTAATTTCATTTGTCTTTAGGTTGAAGGTTGGACCAGTGTAGGATTTTTCTAATAATCCTTTTTCAACTCCTCTCTGTTTTCTTTAGCAGTCTAACAGGTTTTAAAATTTCGCATATTGGCCTTTCTCTGAAGTGATTAGACAGATTTTGCAGTGTCTTTTTTCTTCTAACGAAAATATTCACCTGCAACCTCAAATGTGTATACTTTATCCTAATTTATATATATTGTATAGCATATGCATATATACATTCTATAACAAAAAAATCGACGCACCAAGAAGCAATAATCCGATTGCTTTGAAATTTCGTATGCATGAATGTTTTGAACAGATATTCCAGGAATGATGCCGACTAGGGACGTATAGTCTTTAGCGACGAATCCCGCTTCCAACTGTGTCCTGACGATCATCGAAGACGTGTTTGGAGACGCACAGGGCAGAGGGGGGATCCTGCCTTCACCGGCCCTCAACAAGGCATTATGGTCTGGGGTGCCATTTCCTTTGACAGCC